AAGGCGCGCTTGATTTGCTTTAGAAGAGACACCAAACATGCATGGACAGCTCCATTTGAGTTCGAGAACTTATGAAATTAATTAGGGACATTCCAATACCATCTGTTTTGGTGGAGGCAAGGCAGGGGAAGGCAGGGCAAGGATTGTTTCTGTTCTACCACTCACGCTTTGACTCCGATGGCAATGCTGCTGACACTTTGGTCGGCGCACTGAACATGGAAGAAAAGCACAAAAACTTGCTTGTGCGTATCGATTTAAGCACCACAGACACCAAGACCGAAACCGCAACCGAACTGCCACGTTATATATATATATATATAAGTGTGCGCTCCCCGTCTTCAAGTAAAAGAGCAGCAATTTCTCGAGCTCCAGTCTAGCGATGTAGGGATGAGCCCCAAGTATGTCCTCGCGTGGAATCGTGACGATACGGAGCTGAAACACGACCAAGTTCTTTTTTTGGCTGTTTCATCAGCAATGCGGTGCATGTGTATCATCAACAACCTGGGCCAACCAAACTTCAAAGTAAGATCCTCCGTAATTTGATGTAGGGGCACATCATCACACGTGTGCACAGGCATCAAGAGCTGTGTGGGGTTCCCGCACGTGGAACAAAGCTTGCCACCATTGGCTGTGAGCCAACCAGGTAGCTCAGTTTGCGCACATTTGACTGAACGTATCAACAACAGTTTTGCCCTGAATGAATGCATTGGCCGTCAAAATTGATCTCTGCAAAAGCTGCCATAGCAAGCCAAAAACACCGCTGAAAAAGAACTGATAACTGATCGATCAGTCCGCAAGGAAACCCTTTGGGTGTTTGGGCACAATGCAACTGTCACCGAAGGATGCTTTGCAATACCAAGCCGCGAAGCATTTGTCCAAAGTCATGCTGAGGTGCTTGTTTCAGGTCATCCGGTGCTTGTGAGGCTCTCGCGAACAATGTGAGCCAAGGATTCCTGATGTTTGATTGCAAAAGCGGCACATGGTACTGTCTGCATACCCGGCGGCAGCTCTGTGATCATAGGTGATTGTGCACAGTTCCCCCTCGGGCTTAGTAGACAAAGAGCATTCTAGCTATTTAGTTGGTTGATGGTCCGTTCATGTCCAGAATGCCACTTGATTAGGCTATGCCAGCCATGGGATCTTGTGGCACAATGCACAGTCAGTCTTCGGCCTGTGCGAGTGCTGCTTTCCAGCCGCAAAGCGTGCTTCGGTTGGCAACATATAGGTCAACAGGCCAGTACTTTGGAGGAACACACCTTGGCCTTGGATTCGATCTCAGGTCGGCAGTTGCCAAGTGGATGGAGTGCAGGCCAGTTGTTCAAGATCGTTTGATTTGGTCACATGGGTTGGAAAGGTGCAAGACTGTAGAGTCCAGCAATTCCGACCGTCACTAAGGCGTCAAATTTTGCTCGAGGCCCTGCCGGAGACGTGGCCCATCCCCTGAACACACTCACAGACTCAGAGAGACAGAGCGAGAGGGTTGGAGTTGCCAGGACACTCGACATCACGCCTGAATGAGTTTGTACATGACTTCCCAATAGGCAACGGGTCGGCACAGGCTACTAGGGGCTCCTGGCCTTACTACTAGGAGCATTCTTGCTACTAGTAGCTCCTGGCATTACTACTAGTAGCAAGAATGCTACTAGGAGCAAGTGCATTACTACTAGGAGCAAGGACGCTACTGGTTCAACCCAGGAACGTCAAAGAGTCAACGTTGCAGGTTGTCAGGTTTCAGCGCTAGACGAGATGGTCATGCGAGCCGAGGAGACAGTGATGTTATGCTTTTAATCTTTGACCTGATGTGAAGCCCGGTCATATGTGCAGGAGCAGCTGAAGTCAGAGCAAGTAGCAGTGGTGGAGGAGGTTTCATTCTTTCATGCGCATGCTGAACATCTGCATGCCAAAGTACGTTCGGGTACAATTTTTGCCGAAGCTTAACCCTTTTTTCCAACTGAAATTGAATTGCGCCCTCGCGAAAGGGCAGCCTTATGGATGTTTTGGCCCATGGAAGCGAGCCCTCCACACGGCGCCTTTATGCCATGGACTGAGCTGAAAGTCAGAGAATTGTGAAAGAGAAAACTGTGAAGCGAACATTTGGGTATTAGGACGCCATTAGGTGAGGGCCACACGTAGGTTGGAGGCCATCGCTGCTTTGGAAGACTGTTCTTTTTTCTCCGAGGTAAGAGCACAGCCAAGACCCCAAGACCGGCCCGAAGCGATCGAAATGCTTTTCTCTGTCGAAAGGACCAGCGCAGAATCCTTCTCTTTTAGCATCCAAATTAAATCCTTCTCAGGTTTAGCTCCAGGTTCTTTGTGTCTTTAATTTGGCTGGCGTCTCGCAACCCTTGGAGCCAACGTCTGGAGGATTGTACGTTGTCGCTTGTTGTCTTCTCCTGTTCTTGCTGACAAACTTTGTGATTGTCCCCAGCAACGTGATTAAGCGGGCGGGTGTTATTGCGGACAAATGCTCGGCATACTTCGCAAAAGAAACCCTTTGCCTCACCTCCCTCGCTTCTACTTCTTTCACTCAGCGACGATGGGTTGAAGATTTCGAGTCAGGTCTGGCCTTTCTGGTTGGATCAGCTGTGTTGCGCAGGCCTAGCGATGCTGTTGGTGTGACTTTGGAACTGGACCAATAGCTTCTTGGTCCTCCGAATCTATTGGTACCAGATATCTGGCACAAACCAATACATATGTGCACCTGTGGGCATCAATATGGGAAGGGGCAGCGCCAGTCCACTGGCATCACTCGGGACAGACGCTCTTTGGAGAGCGTTTGTGTTTGGGGGTCGCAGTTTATTCGACACGTGCATGTGTTTACATGCAAGTGCGTAACACTCAAGCTGGACACCATGCACTTTGTTGGAGACCCAATTCCCCAAGCCAGCAAAGCTGACGGTCACATTATGAGATGCCCCAAAACTCAAATTCAATTCGGAAGTCGTGTTTTGCTGTGCAGTCGGGGCGGCCTCTTGTTGCAAACTCAGTGTTGGAATTGCTGAGGTTTTCCAAAAGTTGGTTTGCTTCTTGTGCTGCCTGGGCCTTGACTTCGTGCCATCAGGTTGGGGTGGTTCAGCCAGCTCCAATCTCATCCAGACGATCTTTTGGTGCCGAAGTCAGACATCACTTGACGCCAGTGTTTTGCGCTGCTTCAGACCTTTCCCATGCCGCCACAGACGTGCAATTCCTGTGTTTTTCGGCAGTGTTTGCACAGACACTGGTGAACGCTTGCCAAGTAAACCAAACATAGACATAAACACTATGTTCGTTGCCTCCCTTCCCCCTGCCTCCCATCTTTCCTCCCTCACAAACCTCCGATTTTATCCGGCAAGCATGCATATTTTTTAGACCACTTAATTTTTCCTTCCAATCTGGCGTGGCATTCTTTCTATGAATTGTGTTTCTTCATTCGTTCACATGCTCAAATCAGGGAGTCAGTGAGATCATCTGCTGCAGCTCGCCTCAGCTTCTTCACAAGACGGGGTGATTGTATAGGTCAGAAATTAGAAATCCAAGTGATACTGTTCAACTTTTCCGGTCGAATTTGTTTGCAGCCCTTCTGAGCCAACCTACAGATCCTAAAGGGTTGAATTTATCAAATGTTTCTTTTCTCAGCTTGGGCCTTGATTTTATGTGTTTGTATGCATGGCACCTGTTGTGTCCGTATACATGGTACCCTTGGGCATTAGCGAGATGACTGCAGTTGGAACGTCCAAAGACTTAGAGAATTATAATGTTTTGCGAGACCATGTTGGCTGTTGGCATGTTGCCTCTTGGGACAAAAAAGGGTGGCCGCAATAACCGTGGCTGTGCAGTCCACGGTTTCTTGACCTCCTTGTCGAGGTGTGTGTGTGTGTGTGTCCTGCTTGGCCGAGCCGTGCGCCCTTTCTTTTCTGCCGTGTCCGGCCTGTCCATCCGGGTCTGTGTGTTTTGCTTTGGACCTTGTCCAGGTTTGGGCCTTGTCCGGCCTATGTTCCTACTGGTCTGCGTGTCCTGCTTGTCCGCGTTGTCGCCCCTTTCCTCACCGCCTGGTCCGGGCGGCTATGAATGAAGCACTGATGCAGAGTTTCGCATTTGATATTATCCTGCTCTCCCCAAAATAGTGGTTCTCAAACAGGTGGAGGCTACCGGAACATAGTTAATTACCGAACATTGCAGACGTGTCCACCAACATTGGAATTCACGAAACTGACGCAAAAGAAGTTCCTACTGAAACTGTTTGGGGTCTATGCTGCCATAATTCCTTCATTTTGCAACTGGCCACCTCCAGGTTTTCACCTCGTGATTCCTATCTTTACCCTTTTCTTTGCAGGAACACAGCAGTTTGTGTCAAGCCACATGACAACATGTCCCTCGCAAATCGAACATAGAAGTCCATGGCACAGGATTTTTGTGGTGCATGGGTAAATGCGTAAACGAGTGTTTGACTGATAAGGGATGAGGCTGCAGCTGTGGGAAGAAATCCCATTTGCTATTTTGATGTTCGCCATAAAGTAGGTAAGGTATTGAACAGTAGTAGAACAGGACCAGACAAGTCAAGTTTTTCCTCAGCCCTGCTATACTAGTACGCTTTTCTTGGGTGTGCTCAGTGCAGTTTTGTTTGGCGGTGTTTTGAGAGTGAGTAAGTAGCAATGCCGGTTGCTTGCGTGTAATGTTTTTGTATTGGCCCCCTGGGTTGGGGGAGAGCCAGAGAGCATGCTCCACAATGCCCTGGACCTTGCCAGGTGCAAGAAGCACTGCTTTGGACCAGGTTGGTGTTTTTAGAAACCAGCACAGCCCATGAGGGATGAAAACATGAGGTGCTTTGAGTCAACAAAATCAGTCTACCTCTCGGCAGTGCTGTGCTACTCTTCTGAGGAGGGAGGACCAGAACTGGAACGCACGGCAGCCCGGCACCAAGTTGTACAACTTGGTGTTAGTTTGGGTGCTGTCCGGACTTCTTTTGCATAGGAGACTAGTAGCAAGGACGAGATTAGGTGGAGGCAATTGCTACTAGGTTGGAGGCCATCGCTACTACGTAGTAACAAGAAGCTACCAGTTTCTCTTCATTTGGTGCTGCGCTAGACTACGCTGAGACAATGCAATCGCAGCTAGCTGCTGGAGTCACAACCACTGTGACAACGATGCCCTTTTGGCTGCAAAATGTGGGTTTTCTTGTTCATCATTTTTTTGGTGTTTCCATATCCCAAATTAAGTTGCAAGTTTGTCACTTTGCCTATTTTTGTGTCTTCTGGCGCTTTTGAGTGGCTTCTGAATTGAGACTGCATTTGTGGCCCTTTGTTGGGGTTAGTTTGAGGTATCCCGCGCAATTGGTGACGGAGGATGTGGTGTCGGGTCAACAATGGTTGAGACGGCAAAAAGCTCAAGATCTTCGAGAGGAGGCGAGGAAACAAACAGCTTGGCAGCTTCGTGGTTTCACCAAGGTTCAGCGGCCTGGGCGTCGATTAGTGTGATGCATTTCTTCTTTGAAATGTGGTCTTACGGCTGTAGTTGTCACTTGGATGTGGTCCACTGCGTGCAGGCTCCAAAGAGATTCTTGGTGGACAATCGCCTCCTGAATGCTGGGACTGATGGCATTAGCTACCGTCAGGTATCCCAGTGTATCGGAAGCATTCTGAGAGAAAACGGGTTCCGCAATAGTTTGTTAGCAAACACTACTAGGTTCTTGTCAACGCATTTCTAGAGCTTTGTCGCCATGAGCATACTTACTCTGCAGAGCTTGCTTTTGGCATTTCTTTCAGACTTGAAGACCGTAATCTTCTCATCACTTGGCTGCTTTGCGCAAGGGTCGAGGGCGAGGGCGGTCTTTCGATGGTTGTGCAGGTGTTGGGGAAGATGACGATGCAGTAATTGAGTGGTGTATCCTTTTGAGGAACCTCGGTGAACCGTTCTTATGCCGTTAAAGCATTGTTTTTGTTTTCTCATGATGCTGCTGCCGATGTGCTCCTCCTTGCACGTTCCCTTTGTCCTTGTCAGGTAGGGTAGACTGGCACAGCGCGCAGCCACGCAACAACTTCTGAGCAAGCAACATGGGGAATCTAGCAAATCAAAAGCTGCAATTGTTTATGCAGTGTTTTTACTTATCTTGAGCCTTCAACCTGATCTGACAATCAGTTTTATTTTTTAATTTTTGGTGCCACCAATGTAAATGATTCGAGCTTCAACTTGCCAAACAGGATCAAAGTCCAATCGTCCAACATCTCCTTTTCTTCCCATTTCGTTATATTATATACCTTTCCTTTGGACTTCACATCTACATTGCCAAAATCCCGAAGATTCAGCAGCGTCATTTTTCTTGTGCAAGGTTTGCAATCACACGAGTCACAAGTGGGGCCAAAAACAAAAGACAGACTTGATTGAAAAAATAGGTTGCTTCGCGTTGTGCGTTCCAGGTTCTTTTTGGCATTTGAAGGGCCTATTGCCAAACATGTTCTCAACAAATCACATTCCCTTGGATATAATTCCGAACATTACTGACACACCACCATTTTTTGTCGTCCATTCACATTCGCACCCTTGCCCTGGCAGATTGTTTTCCTAACTGAAAGTCGTCAGATGACATAGGACGGATTCTTTTTCTAAACACGCGTTGTGATTGATATTCTTTTCGCGCTGTGAGTGATTCGCGGCGACTCGAGACAACCAACTTTTGACAGGCTTCTCCCAAGACCTCGAGGACCTTGACCTCAGTTGCACAGCTTCGTGGGGTTCAATTGTTGAGGCGGGAAGGAACTGTTCAAATTTTGGAAGCTCACTTGTGAAAGGCAGGAAACGACTCTACGCCGCTGTGCAAACATTTTGGTCACATGCAACATTGATGCACAGTGCTGGCAACATGTTGGGAGAAGGGCCACACAAGACAAGAAACAAACATCAAAGGGCATGAGTAGCCGCACTCATCATGACAGCAGCTGTCCACACAGTTCCCGTTAGACAAAACGCGCACTGTGTACCGAGCTGGACACCATTGTTCAGTGTATGCCATGGAATAGTTTGCCATCCAAGCCTGAAATGTTTGCTGTGCATTGCTGCGCCACATATGTGCTTGGTCCTTCAAATTGACAGTCTTATCCATATAGACAATACGATTGGACATGTGAGCCGAAGGCAAACTACCTTTGGCTTTTGAGGCGTTTTTCAGAGCAGCGCTTGGCACCCCACCAGTCAGCTTTCTGCCAGGGTGTGGACGAGGGAGATTGGATCCGTGTGTCCGATGAGCTGTACCTTCCAAAAATGTAGAGTCCTCAAACTGCGCTTTTAGCCAGAATGGTTCTCCGAAACAGTTTCACGATTCTGCTTTTCAAGATTCAAATGTCATTGCTCTTGAAGAGGCTTGGCGGGGTCCCTGTGCTCACGTTGGAGGAGCTGAGAGATCTGTTCCTGTCATTAAGACTTGATTGAGATGCGTCAAGATAGTTCTCCACCAGCATTGCGTGCAACGTGAGGACACGCCTTGGGCCCTGTCTGGGCTTCAGGTTCAGGAGGCCCAGAAAGCAGTGTTTCTGATATCATTAAATTTTAGCTGACAAACTGCTTGAGAGAGCAGCCGACAAGCACTGTCTTGAGGCTTTCCCAGTGAGCAGTGAGGTGGTGATTCTGGAGGCGCATGAAAGCATTAGTGTACTTTCGTGCCTTCGCACAAGCACTCACAATTTCATTGACGCCCTTGACGAGTAGCAGTGACAGAAGAAAAATATACATATTGAGATGACACACAGACAGGCAGAGGTAGACAGAGCCAAACGGAAAAGATTAAGAGGAAAGCAACTGCAGCAAAGACCATCACGAGAGCTGCTGAGGCTGCCATCATGAGAGCTGCTGAGGAGACCCTCAGTAAGAGAACTTGGGAGATTACATTTCAGAGCCCAAACGAAGGAATGTTTGTGATTGATGCTAAGATTTCCTGTTCTTTATTCTTATGTCCAACAGAGTTTCTGAACAGCTTCTGAGCGCTGGGTATGCTTGCACTGCAAACTGAACGACTTCGCACGGCGTACAAGCACGAAGTTCAGTGGCAGTCCTGTCAAATTTCTTCAACAGGAAAGTGATCATCACACATAACAAATAACCCAACAGAATAAAGGAGACGGTTCACAATTGGTTCACTAGTTCTTGATGACACCAAATTACTTCGAAAAAAGTTAACTTGGTTGTCACTTTTGAGCGTTGTTTGCGTTTCACAAAGCAGGAGTTGAGAAGTGCCGCTGTGGCCCAGCTGGAAAAGGAGCTCTTTGGGTTTGACTCGGGAGGAGGACATTGAAAAGGCTATCAAAGCATGGGCAAAAACACCTGTTAGGGGTTCTCTTCACGAAAAAGTGGAAAACGGCAGCAGTTGCTTGAAGGTTTGTTGAAAGCAGGACGCTGCTACTTTCCGTGTACCGTGCTCGTCAGAACATCTCAGTCCCACCCTTTCTAAAACGTGCGCTGAGCAGGACCGACGACTAGAGGTTCTGGGCCACGGAGCAGGCGAAGCCAAGCCGCGAAGCTTTGCTTTCGCACCTTTTGCACGTGCTTTGGAGCTGGTGCTCTGTCACTTCGCCCACTTTTATTACTGGCCCCGTGCCCACTCTATTTTGAGGCGTCCGAAGCCGACGGCTGTATGTGCAAGATCTAGTGCTGGATGCTCGAAATTGTCGCATGGTTTGCAGAGACCGTCAGAAACGGCCCAGGTCTGGGCAAACTGGCTGGATTAGCTTCGCAGCTCAGAGTGGCCCTTAGTTCGCCGAGAGGGTAACGTTTTGCGCTTTTGGTAATTCACATAGCCTGTACCACTTTACGCAACTTGGGAGGGTGTGGGTGAGAATTTAGCGATGCAGAGTTGTTTGCAGCTTCCTCGAAGGGCTCGCATGTGTGGAAAAAGCAAAGGGCTCAGCACGAAGCCCCATCAACGTGAGAAAACAATGTGTTTGCGCGAAAAGCGTGTAGCGGTAATCGATGGGGTCCTATGTTTCAAAGTGTCATTGGCAAGCAGTTCAAGACCAGATGATATAATAATTTTTGCGTGAGCTCCAAGTTTTGGATAGCAGCCGTGCAACGCGTTTCCAGGTAAGGTGAGTGCTTAAGTCAGGCGAACAAGAGTGAAGGCTAAATAGGCCCCGTTGCAGCAACCCTGCAGTGGAATTGGGGGGTTAACATGGCGAATGTATTTGGTTTGTTAGGGACATAATCCGTTTGTCGAAAGAACGTGACAAGCACCCGATTTGTGTCTGTGTGTGGTGGGCGTTCGATGTGCTGGGAAGCGTTGATCGCCTGCAAGATTTACAGACTTTTGGCAAGGAATGGTAAACTCCTGGTGGCACCAACAGATGCCGCGCCAGATGAAGTGCAGAAGGCGGCTTTTGGTGGCTTGTGTTGCTCAACCTGCTCGTTAAAAACGTGTCGTTGATTCTCTTGTTGAGGTGGCCACTATGGCAACCCATGTGGCTACCATGGCAAGACAATACGAGGTGGAAGCGCAATACTAGGTTTCGACAATCTGCCAATTTTTACGCAGAAAGTCCTGAGGGCAATACGCGGGATGCAAAAAACAAAAAAAGCAACGTGAAAGCACGGGGTGCTTTAGAGTTAGCGTGTAACTTGCAGGAGAGAGTGGAAGGTGGAGAAGAGCGCCAGGAGGCACATGCAAAGAGTAGAAGACCCAATCGGGAAATTTGTTTCCTAAATTGTCTCATCGCCATTCTCGCCACAGGAGCCGCCAGAAGAGGCATTCTTTGTGGATAACCGCATGCTAAAGGCTCACCATGGGCTGAAGGTATATAATGTTACATTGATAGTTTTGCTGTTGACAATGGGAGGCAGATTCAGATGGCATTGGCTACCGAGCTTCGCCGGACTTGGATGACAAGGAGACCCTGCGCGCTTGATTGAGCCATTGTAGGGTATGCAATGAACGGGACTTTTTCCCCAAACAGTGTTTTTGGGGTGCGAGTTTGAGGGTGGTCACATCTGTGGGCAGCTAATTCGCCACCAGATCAGTTACAGCATGTGCATTCATGCCTCTTGAGATCTTCTAAGTGCATTTTGACTGCACGCGCTCCCACAGTGCCCCCCCAGGGGGTGCTTTACTCGACTGCGCTCTCTCTGTGGTGCCGTGTGCATTTTCGGGCTTGGTTTTGTTCTTGGGGCAGGCGCAATGGAATCCTCGTGTATTGGTGGTTTGAGGTCGACTTTTCGTGGCAGGCGCAGGAGATCGGAGCGCTTTGTGGACCGCCAAGCACAGATGTTGTGGAGAAGTGCACGTTTCGTGGCAGAAGCAGTGCCCTTGTAAACCTCGAGCTGGCTAATAGCTGTGCTCTCGGCAGTGCTCACGTGCGTGCTCTCATATGGGTGCTTTAATCGTTTTCTCTCATGTTCATATTTGCATCCTCTCATAACTGTGCCCCTATGTGTTCTCTCATATGTGCCTGTTTTCTGTGCACTTGTACATGTGCTCTCATACTTGCCCTCTGGTGTGAGTGCTTTTATGTGGTTGCTCACATATGTGTGGTCTCACCTGTCCTTTCACATGCGTGCTCTCTTCGGTGTGCGCTCACGTGCGCTCTTATGTGTGCTCTCCTGTGTGCGCTCATGCTGAAATTGGGTCATCCTATCGCACTGATTTTCTGGCAGTCTCCGAAGACAAGAGAATGCGAAGGCCTCTTGCGAAGGCCTCTGGCGTGTATTCCGCATAACCTTCATCAAGTTTGAGCTGCACAACCTCCACCAGCCTGTCAAGGTTTCAATAAGACAAGATGGAGCCCACGAACCCGAATGCAAACACGTTCGAAAAGCTACATATGTCCAAATGACACTCTTGTAGGACACTCTTGTGGGACACTCTTGTGGGTCACTCTTGTAGGGAACTCTTGTGGGACACTCTTACGGGACACTCTTGTGGCACACTCTTGTGGGACGCTGTTGCGGGACACTCTTGTGGGACACTCTTAAGGGACACTCTTGTGAGACACTCTTGCGGGACACTGTTGCGGGACACTCTTGTGGGACACTCTAGTGGGACACTCTTGTGGGACACTCTTGTAGGGCACTCTTGTGGGACACTCTTGTGGGACACTCTTAAATCTTGTGAGACACTCTTGTGGGACACGGTTGCGGGACACTCTTGTGGGACACTCTTGTGAGACACTCTTACGGGACACTCTTGTAGGACACTCTTGTGGGACACTCTTGTAGGACACTCTTGTGGGACACTCTTACGCGACACTCTTGTTGCACACTCTTGTGGGACACTCTTGTGGGTCACTCTTATGGGACACTCTTGTCGGACACTCTTGTGGGACACACTTGTGGGACACTCTTGTGGGACACTCATACGGGACACTCTTGTGGGACACTCTTGTAGGACACTCTTGTGGGAAATGCGAGGCACTCTTGTGGGACACTCTTGTGGGACACTCTTGTGGGGCACTGGACACTCTTGTGGGACACTCTTGTGGAACACGCTTGTAGGAGACTCTTGTGGGACACTCTTGTGGGACGCTCTTGTGGGACACTCTTGTAGGAAACTCTTGTGGGATACTCTTGCAGGACACTCTTGTGGGACACTCTTGTAGAACACCCTTGTGGGACACTTCTGTAGGGCACACTCTTCGTACGAGACTTCCTCCAAAAGTCACGCTGCGAGGCTGCAAGACGAGCTTTTCGTACGAGACTTCCTCCAAAAGTCACGCGTCAAGTCTCCAAAACAAGCGTTTCGTACGAGACTTGCTCCAAAAGTCACACGTCAAGTCTCCAAAACGAGCGTTTCGTACGAGACTTCCTCCAAAAGTCACATGTCAAGTCCCCAAAACGAGCGTTTTGTAGCACGAGACTTCCTCCAAAAGTCCAGCTCGGAGCACACACATCACGCAGCCCTGCCAAGCAGTTTCGCGATTCCAGCCCCTCCAAACGACACCCGCTCACACGCCAATCCCAATGTGACAGCGACGTTCACCTCTACCACAACTCACAACCTCCCGATTCCCTGCGCCTGCCACGAATCTTTCCGCATCCACACGTTTAACGCGCACAAAGTACTGCGCCTGCCACGAAATGTCACCTCCGTCACACCTCACAACCTCACGATTCCCTGCGCCTGCCACGAGAATCGCACTTCCACACCTCAAAAGCCGCACAAAGTACTGCGCCTGCCACGAAAAGTGACAATATCGTCTCATGTGAGCTTCAACAAAATTTGCACCACACCACACGTTTGGAATGATTTCGACCCGTTCTGAGCACACTCCCATCCACCAAAATCGGCATTTCAGCTGAGACTTGTCACGAAAACAGAGCTTCGATGCCACACCCTGAAATGCAAATCCCAATGGCACAGCCACATCCAACACCCCAAAAACACGACTCTCCAAACGCTAATCCCAATGGAACTGCGCAGCAATCTGCAGATCTCACAAAACGCTGCGCCTGTGCAGCGAAACGCATTTGGTTTCTTGCGCGGCATGTCATTTTCATGCAAATCACAATGGAATAGCGGCGCAAACTGACACGTGACACATCCATGAAAAGCCACTTGCAAAAGCTTCCCCCAATGGCAGCGCCTTAGCGCTCTACTGCGAACGGTTGCGGACGGTTGCGAACGGTTGCGAACGGTTGCGGACGGTTGCGGACGGTTGCGAACTTAGAACCAACGGGTCACGAACTCTACCCCCAGAGCCCCAAGAGTTAAACGAGAACCCTTCGCTACGCATTCGGGAAAAAAACCGATGGCATCAAAATCCGGCACCAAGGCAATGGCATCATCCCAAGTTCACCAACAAGCGTCGTGCTTACACCAAACAATGTTTTCTTCGAAAGCATGTGCCACGCGAGCATACCAACACGGCAGCGCGTCGGCGTAACACATATCATGCACCCACACATGTGCAAGCAGAGACAACACTACTACAAGCAAGAGCCAGCAAACATGATCCAGAACCCGCCCTCGGAACCTTTGCAGCGCGATAACATGAGTCTTGCGTTGCCGCTCTTACCTGTCTGATTCGCGACGTGGGCTGGTTACCATGACCTCGGCACACAGATCTGAAAGCGGGTGCCACGCGCCAACCTAAGAAACCAGAATCCTGGACAAACAGGAAATGGGCCTGAGCGCCTGTAGTTAAAGGCCAAAGGGTCCAAATCCACGATACGACGAACAGGTCGAAATGACGGCGGCCGCTCTTGTCTGCAGAATGCACTAGCCCTTTATGGAAGATGAGGGTGACAGCTTTGTCAACAGTTCCAAAAGCAGGTACACCAGGTTGATCAGACCTGGCTTCCACTATCACGCATAGCTTCGTTGGCATGCGTTTGCGTGATAGCCGCGTGCCCCCTGCTTACAATCAAGAAACATCAACAAAAGCATTCCAACAGGAACCTTGTGACTCCAAAGGTTACACACACTTCGAACTTGGAGTTTCAGTTAATGCGATCTCCCGAGGAAA